TTAAATTTAACTGGAGTTTTTACTCAAACAAATAAGCTATGATGGATTTTAAATAATTTATCTTTTTTTGCTCCTTCTCCAAAGAAAATCCTTTGGCTTTAGGAAATCTCTTGTTCAGTTATGATTTAATTCTCAGCATGTCTTCAAATTAGAAATAAAATGTGTAATTTTTCATGAAAATTTTACGCTTGAGTACTCTAGCTCAGAACCAGGCAAGCTGATGGTGCCATGCCATTTTTTTTTCTGAAGATGTAGAGCTAGCCAACAGGAAGCATCTTAACTATTTTAGTCTGGGTTCTCAGCCTGGTTCTTAGTCAGAATAAGGTGTCCTTAATTCCTTATAGAATCACAGAATCAGTTAGGTTGGAAAGACCCTTAAGATCATCGCGTCCAACTGTATTATGCATGATAATCAGACCCTCTTATTTAAAGCTTTCCCATTTGCCCAATTTTAAACATTCTTTTAATCCATTTTCTGTTCAAACTCTTAAACCAGCCAGCTTGATGTAATGTGTGAGTTCCTTTCAGACATTCTTTAAGCAATATACTTAGCACCTTACACATATGGCTTAGCCTGTCTCATTCCCTTCCTTCGTGCTGCTTGTGCTTAGTTAGACCTCCCATGGGAGTGTCAGGGGCTGTGGTGAGAGAAGTAAATAGAGACAACAATAAAGATTGAGGTGAGTTTTGAGGAGTTTGGAATAAGCATGTGGTGGGTCCAGATTGCCTGCTACCAAACAATGGAGTAAATTAACTGACAGTCTGTAGGAATTCGTTGGTGTTTTACACTTGGTGTTATCTTCATGCAGACTAGTCTGGAAAACTAGACCACGTTATGCTTTGGATGTGTTGTTAACAGCGGTAAAAATTTCTGTGGTGATACAAAAATCTATCACAAAAATGAACAGAGGGCTATTCTCTGTCTAACTTCAGGTGTGCAATGTAGGTAGCTGTTTTAGGAGGTGGTACCCCCACAAACTCAATGCATAGAGTTGGGGTTTTCCAGATGTCAATTCAGAACATCTAAGTCAGAGCCTGCCTTAGTCCCGTGACTATAAAAGGAGCATGAATTTAATTAGTTTGGGCATCTCTTGGCACATTGTAAAGGCCTGAAACACTGCACATGGCTGTTAAAAAACAGCTTCTGAGAAAGACTACTATGATGATCTTGTCTTTTTTTTCCCAGTCCTACACTGGCGTCTTCTATGGGGTGTTCCTACAATAGAGTCTGCAGCATGTCATGCCACAACGCTCTCATTTGCAGTTTAGACAAAATGTTGTTTCCTTTAATGGTAAAGAAATACAGTTGCTCGCCAATAAGGTGATAGCTGTTTTGTGGAAGTCAGTTCAATACTGTGCTTATTTCTAGGCAACGTATTTGATGTAGTCATGGAAAAACTTGCAATTCTGTACTTTAGAACAGAGAGGTCCAAATCTGGAATATATTGCTTTACAGTAACAAACAAAATCCTCATTTGTTCTTATATTAGACAAACTGGCCTGGTACTAGGAAAAAAAATATACTATAAAGAGGCAATATGGCCTCATAAATAGAATACTATGTAATAAAAACTCTTCATGATAGTTTAATTTGTTTTGGCATATATAAGTCAATAATATGATTATGATATAGTAATGATAACTGGGTGGATCCATTGAAGGCCGAGCAGCATAGTCTCTGTTTTTTCACAGGAAACTGGATAAATGATGAACGTAGTGTTGAAGAGAATAAAGAGAATTTTCTTTTTAAAATTCTGTGGTGCAGTATAATAGTTTAAGAAGCACATTGTGTGCTGGGCACACTAAACTGATGTCAAAAGCCGTATTCTTGGACTTGATGATCTTTGAGGTCTCTTCCAACCATAATGATTCTATGATTCAGCCTGGCAATCACAGAAATACTTCTGCATTTGAAGGTGCAGGTTATAGCAGTATCTCCATTCTACACCAGAGTCATACTCAGATGCAGGTCATGTTTCTCAGTAAAAGAAATCATGTGTGTACTCATAAAAAATGATGCCTAATCTGCAGGCAATCAAGAAAATAGTTAATAAAATATTAGCTTGTAAATCAAAGGTCATCTTATCATCTGTAAAACAACAAAAATACTAGTCTCTGCTTAGTTTGCTGTTTCTAATCTAGTTTACCATACCTTGTAGCAAGAGATAATGAGAGAAGCTTGCTACTTCAATGTTCCTTCAAAGTGAAGATAATTCAATTAAGCTATTAAGCAAAAGTATAGGGTTTTTTTCGAACTTCTTTCACTCAAGGTGTGCAATGGGTGGGTGGGTGCATGCAGTGAAATGGTGAAAGCTATGAATTTTGAATGTATAAATTGCTTTGATTTTTTCTTTCATCTGTATTGATGTCAAATTGAATGCTTCCTTCTGTGGAACAGCATATTGCATGCAAGTCTTACTACTTTAACAACCCTGCAAAAATAGAGGTGGCATAGTACTGTAAACCTGAAAGAGTAGAACCCATTAAGTTGATGTGAGATGTATAAGAAAAAGAGATAAGAGATCATAAAAAAAAATCTAACTTGTTTGATGAACATCAAGGAGGAAATAGTATATACTATTCCACTTCTTGGCATCAAGCTAGGAAATCATGTTTAGTTTCAATTAAAACTTATGTAATATCTTTCATTCAAAAATAGAAGTGTATTAGAAATACTTATTTCTTGGATCTCACATCTCTGAGATAAATATTAGCCCCATTTTCTAATTGAATGTGCATTGCTTAGCAGGAGAGTAGCAGAACTAGACAGAGAACCAGCAGTGCTAACTTCTAGTTCTGTATTTTAGCAGACAGCATATTGTCCTGAACTTCAAATTAATCACTAGATGTTTAAGATGGGGGAGATGTAATTCTGCCACTCTGTGCAGTTCCTCAGTTAACTGGCAGTATAACTGAGCTGATAGGCTGTACTATTTAGGATGATAAGCATTGAGAAACAGGGTCCTTTAGCCCAGATGGAGAACCAAGCTAAAGTAGCAGTGCTGCTTTCAGTAGATAACTGGAGCATGTAGAGTTGTGTCAAGTCTACCATGCTGTCCAGACAGAAGTTTTGAGTTCAGTTCACATTGGTTCCCCAGGTTTTCTGACTCACATAAGGTAGCACTGAGTTCTGGTCCAACGCTGTTCTTCCTGAACTCAGTTTTACTTTTAGCGTGGAGATAAGCTGATCAGTTGATCCAGTGCTGAGTGGCTTTGAAAATCCAATTCTTTTTCCTCCATTCCTAAATCCTGATAAATTTATGATAAAATTTTTAATGTATATTGCAAATTCTTCAAAGAAAGGACTTTTCCTTACCAAATACTCAGAAGATATGGTGCTCTAATCCTGACTGAAGGCATGAGACACTACTCTAGTACAAATAATAACCAGTCTATCACATTTTCATTGCACTGGTTTTATCAATGCAATTATTTTCATTTTTTTCCATTGATTCACAGTGTATTCATATTTAATGTTCACAGTTCTTTCTGATTTATATCTTTTTACATGTCATTTCAATGATTATGAGGAATCTCTTGCTTTAATTAATTTACTTGCCTTAGAAATGATAACTTTTCATGTAACTGTATTCTCTTGCTACAGATGATCCTGGTCTTTTCATCTATTTCTTTTTGTATCCTCTGTCCCAATTTCCTATTAGAAATATGTTAATCTATTTCACTCTGCTTCTGACGGTATTGTAAGTGACTAATAATTTAAGATCTATTATTAGAGCTCACCACACTGTTAGTCAATGTCACATTGTAATTTAAGGCAGTGTGAAACTATCTTAGGATATTTTACTGAAAGCTGTGAAAAGTTATAAGTAGTAACTGTATTGATGTTTCAGCCATTTGTAAAGAATTATTTACTTGAATAACTGCTAGGTATTAAGAAAAGTCTACAAGGGACATTTAATTTAAATGTTAGAAACAAGTTGCAAAGCAATTTGGAAATAGATGTTACAGTTTCATGACTTAGACTCCCAGCTATAATAATTAAAGAAGTAATAAAATAAATGTAGTAGGAATACAGTCTAATCAGATACACAGTGTTTATCCTTCCTTCCTGAGAACTACACTCAGGGCTTATATGTGCTAGATTATATCTATTCTGCTATGGACCTGATTCAATCAAATATATTTATTATTTCCATTGTGAAAGTACTTTTGCACCCAAACCAACAATTCAAGGTGCTACTCCTGTAAGCACTGAACAATTAAGTCAGTCCATATGCAAAAGACCTATTGATACAGAACTAATACAGACAAAGAGAAAAACAAAACAGCAGTATAAATTCATGACAAAACAACTGTAACTGAAGAGCTCAGGTAGAAGTAGTTGCATGGATTTCAGGGTGTTACTGCTTTCAGCACTATGCTCTGCCCTTATGAAGGCAACTGTCCTCATAGCAGAGGCAGCAGATCAGGTTGTGTATCTGTGCCTACATTTTTGTTCTTCAACCCACTTTTTTGACAGCACGAGGACACCTACTTTGCACTTAAGTGAAAAGATTATTTCCTGGAAAGGACTCAAATCACTGGCCAACTAGGAGTTAATATTGGTATACCAGTAAGCCAAGTACTCTTACTATTGACCTCATTTGAATTAGTAAAACTCCCATTTGCAACCACATTTATTCCAGCCCAACTTGAAGAAAACAAGCTATATTAACAAAACACAGTCTGTCTCTATAATTTCTTGCCATTTTCTGCAAATTACATTGGTTTTAAGTAACACCTTGTCACATCATCAAATCCCTGAATGACATTTATAAGCTAGTAAGCACATTTTGGCTTTGCAACCATGGCCTTCATGTTTTCAGAATATATGGACTAGCAATCCTTTTAACTCCATTAATGATTCTTTCATTTTCTTAGGGTGTTTATTTTCACTTTAACATATCCATTGTGCATGTGACAATTAGTTGATGATATGAATGGAAAGCACTGTTAGAAATTTCTTGCATATGCTATCTAAAGTCTCTGAAATTTTTCAGGTTAATTGCCCAGATTCATGACGAGTTGTTGTTTGAAGTAGAAGATTCTCAAATCCAGGAGTTTTCAGGTAAGTACAGTCGCTCTTTTTCTTTCTCCCCCACCCTCTTTTTTCTCCCTATAACCTGTGATTTCTCAGAGGATAAAGAATTAATGTATCAAGAAGGAGCACATTGATTCTCATGATTAAGAAAATGTATACTAGGCAGATTTTTCTGAATGTTTTCAACCACTGGCTCTTATGTGGATAAAACATGATATACTCCTCATCTGGAGTTCATCAGCGTGCTTATTTGTATTTAGTTTTCTTGTGAACATCGCCTCATCCAAAGTGTGAATCCTGTAAAGCTAAATAATAATACTTTCTCCAAGGTTTCAAAGGGGTTTAGAAGGAAATAAACCAGCTTAAAAAGAATGGCTTGGAAAGTAACTTCATAAATACTTATGATTGAGGCCTATTACATAAAGAGGTATGGAATTCTTAATGTAAGATTATAATGTACTGTAATTTCTAAGTTAGTTTACTGCTTTTCTTGTCTTGAGAGAACTTTATGATGGAACTTTCAAGGTTAAGGGTTAGTAAAA